TGGAAACAGGAACAGTACTGAACACACTCCAGAGCATGTTTCTCAAGGTATGGGGAGGCGGGGCTCCCCGGTAAAGTCCTTGGATACCTACCTGCTTACCATGCATATCTTGGGCCCCACATGAGTCAGATCTCTGAGGCATGGCCAGGGGATCTGGCTTTCTTCAGAAGGCTCTGCAGGTGGTGGTATGCTGACGCACGGGGCTAGGAGCACTGCCTTAGCCGTCTCCCATGAGCGTCATCAACTACACAACTTCAAAGTCCTCCCTGCCGTACACGCAAACAGACCTGTTTGCTTCCAGTCTCTGGGATTTGTGCCATCATTTAACTGACATTTACTGAGCATCTAGTATGTCTCAAGCACTGTACGGGCACTAGGGGAACAGCTAGGAGAAGACAAGCAAAGTGCTGAAGGTCTAACAGTTTTAGTTTGCAGGTGTGGGGAGTGTTGGTGTGTGTGTGGGGTACAGATAAGCCAGGAAGTGCTAGGTGCCGTGGGAGAAAACAGAACAGTGGTGGGGAGTGAGTGGCTGGGAAGGCTTCTCCAAGGATGTGACATCTGACCTGAGGCCTGACTACAGAGCCGGAGGCAGAGCATCCAGCCAGGGTCAGCAAGTGCAAAGGTCCTGAGGCAGGAGCCAAAGTGAGCTCAGCATGACAGGAGGGACAAGTAGGCAGGGGCAGGATGGTGGGTCTTGTGATGTAAGGAGAACCACTGGGGGCTCAACACTGAGAGGGACAGGAGCTGGTGGAGAATGCACTTGGGGAGGGTGGGGCATGAGTGGAAGCGGGAAGATGAGTGGAGGCTATGACTTTCATCCAAGCTGGAGACGGTGGAGGCCTGGACTGGGGTGGCCCAAGCAGAGATAAGATGTGGCCTGAGCAGAGATAAGATGTGAAGAGATCTAGGACCTACCATGGACGGATGTGGGGGCGGGTGAGAAAAAGGAACCAAGGTCATATGACCCCTATGTTGCTTGGGCAACTGTGGAGAGTGGTGCCATTTACCGAGGTGCGAAGATTAGTGGAGGAACAAGCTTGTTCGGTGCCACCGAGCTGCTGGTGACTCACAGTGAGCCCATGTGACAACAGAACGGCCCACTACGGTTTTCCGCTGGTAGGTTTGAATTGCCACCCTTCTGGTTAGCAGCAAAGTGCTAAACAACTGGACCACCAGGGCTCTTTGGAACCTGCCCAGGGAGTGAAAATCCAGTTTGTTCTTTTTTTTTTTTTGAATACCAAGCTGGAGGACCATGCAAGGAGAGAAATGAAGCAGAAAGCTGGCCCTGAGTCTGGAGCTGTGGAAGAAGGCTGAAGCAGAGACCAAGGAAGCACCAGTGAAGATGGTATCTGGGACACGTGCTGCTGAAGGGGCCGGGTGAGATCTCACAGGGTCCAAGGGTTGACAGAGGGTGGAAGAGAGCGCTCCAGGTCACCCCACCACTCAGAGTCTGAGCAGAGGACAAGCAAGGAAGGGGAAGGCAGGCAGCAAGCCTGAGGGAGTATATCAGGAACGCCAACAGAGCTGGAAAAACTGTACAAAGTGTCGTCAAGGGATGGATTTAGCAAGGTGGCTTCTTTGACAAGGAGGACTTTAGTGGAACGGTGGGGATGAAAACTCAGCTGAGAGCACAAGAGGTGGAAGCCAAACGGAATTCTTTGGGAAGGTTTGGCTGAGAAGGGGGAGGAACAGGATGATAGTTGCAGAAGTTGGAGACAAGGGCTTTTGTTTTAAGATAGGAGGCACCAGAGCACGTCTGTTTGCTGGTAGGAGACTCAGGAGCTTCAAAGACTGGGTGAGGGTGGGCAGGGACCCCTGTGTGCTGTGCTAGGAGGGAAAGCAGAGCACGCGGGCTCAACGGGTGGGCTGGCAGATGAGCCGGGAGGCATGAGGGGTTGATCTGACAGCTTCTCCATGCGCCACGAGCTACCGACTGCAGTGAGGAAGGGCAGAGGTCTGAGGAGGCCACGTGAAAGACCTTTTGCTTGCTGAACACAAAGATGACTTGAGGCACTTACTGAGGAAGGTCAAAGACCACAGCTTTCAGTATGGATTACACTTGGAATACAAAGAAAAAGAAAATCCTGACAACTGAACCAGTGAACATCAGCATGATTAATGGAGAAAAATGGAAGCTGTCAAGAATTTAATCCTACTTGGATCAACAATCAGCACCCATGAAAGCAGCAGTCAAGAAATCAAATCTGCTGCAGAAAACCTCTTTAAAGTTCTAAAAAGCAGACATCACTTTGATGACTAAGGTGCACCTCACCCAGGCCATGGCGTGATGCACTGAATTACTTAATATGGCTCTGCTAGCCAGTCTCTGTGACTCACACACGGTGACTAGGTGGGACTACGCAAATAAGGTGTATGGAACCTGTGAGGATGAAGGTTATGTGTCAACTTGGCTGGACCATGACTTTCAGTGGTATGGCAGTTATGTAAATGTCCTTCATTTTGTGAGCTGAAGTAAATCCTAGGGTCTATGCCTGTGGTTATGGTCTCATTTAGAAGTCTGTTCTGTGAATAAGGCAGGATTAGGGTGGGCTGTATCTTGAGTCATCACCTTACTAGAGGATGTGACTGGAGTCACCATTCTTACCTCAGTTACCACCCTTATTCAAGTCACACCTTTGCACTTCCTTGCTCAAGTGATGGGAGGTCTCCGTCAGGGTATGGTGTGTGAGTGCTCTGGCGAAGTTCTCTCTCTTGCTCTCGATCCTGCGTCTGGCTCATCATCATCTGACCTCCAGGTCTTGGAACCTGAGCCAGTAGCCTGTCATCTGACCTGCTGGTTTGGGTTCATTTGCCCCTGCAACCATGTGAATCAGCAGAGACCACCAGCCTGACACCTGACCCACAGATTTGGGACTTGCCAGCCCCCACAACCACGTCAGCCATCTCCTTGACGGTTCTTGAGTTCTGTGAGATACTGCAGTGAACTAGGAAGGAGGGTGCCGAGAGGAAAAGGAGCAGCAGACGTTAGAGACGAGAGCAGCACAGCGGTCTGCAGCAGCTGGACATGCGGGACACCTTCAACCTCTGCCTCAGGGGGACCAGCTTTGTGCTGATCCTTCTAGAAGAAATTATTGATTCACATTTCTTTTCAATTGCTTCATGTCCATGAGAAGTCAGACGACTACAAAAGAAAACAGAAGAACTGATGCATTTGTGCTGTGCTGCGGGCAGAGAAAACCAACCATAGCATGAAGTGCCAGAAGAGCAACTCAGGCTCAGAAGAAACAATCGGAAAGCTCCCCAGAAGCGAAGATGGTGGGATTTCAACCTGCTTGCTTTGAACACGTCATCAGGAGATACCAGTCACTAGAACAGGACACTGCTGGGGAGAGGGTCGGCAAGAACAAGGAAAACCCTCAGTGAGGTGACCCAAGAGCCACAACAACGGGCTCAAAACAGGGCCTCGGGGCATGACAAGTGCTGAAGGGACACCCAGGAGTCAGGCTGCAGACAAAGCCAGAGACTGGCACATACCATGCGGGGCAGTGAGGCAGCCAAGACTCAAAGACAGAAGCAAAAACAAAACACAAAACTGACCAGCCAGTCCCTGACAAAAGCACACTGGATTCAAAACATACAGCCAGGGCGCGTCCTCATTTATTAGGGCCGAGTCTTCACCTCAGCTTCCTGAAAATGAAAAACTCCTGTGACCTGAGCCACCAAATGGGCAGGTATGATCACGGAAGTCACATGGCTAGGGTGGGGCTGGGGAAATCTATACTTTACAGAAGTGAAAAAAAAGCAACCTGTGTTTCGGTTTCCTGTCACTCAAAACCACCATTTCCTTCATATTATCAAATGCCATAAAAGGCACAACACAGACTTGGGAACTTGGAAGAAAGAATCAAAACAGCAAGGGAAGGCTCAGGTTAGAAACTGTCTCTGTTCCCAGCACTGGTGTGAAAGTGCCCAAGGTCAAAGGCTGACTTCAGTCATCCCGTGTCCCCAGTCCCCACACTCCAGAGGTGCCTGTTCCACTCTGGGCCAGTCCACGGGAGCTGGCTCTAGGCTACACTATCCAGGCACACACAGCTGGGGTCCTGGCCTCTCGCCGAGCCTCCTGACTCTGGGGCACTCCCTCCCTTCTGACCCTGGGACCCATGTGACTCAGAGTGAAGGCCCTGAAGAGCAGAAGCTCTGACAGCTCCACCCACAGGTCCAGGTTGAGTCTCTTCTGGCCCCTCTTCTCTCTGGATCCCATTTGACTTCAGGATGAAGAAGTTACTTCCGGCCAATTCAAGCCCCACCCCTACCTGGCGTGGCTAGGGTTCCCCATGCCTCCTACTCAGGTTCAGCCCACCCTGGATTCTCTACCTGCTTAGTTTTCTAGTCTCCAGATGTTCTCCAAAGAGCCTCTTTCCCATGTCAAGTCCCCCTACCTAGCACTCAGCCCAGTGGTTGTGCCCCAGCCCCTGCGTCTCCCACACTCCTCCGGGCTGTCCCTATCCACCTGTGTCAGGGAGCTGCTGGGTGGGGCAGGTCCTCTGCGGGGAAGGCAGCCTGCTCCCTCCCCTGGAGGAGGCCAGGTGTCCTGCAGTGGGTCACCCGGAGCTGAGCCCACTTCCTCCTGCGAGTCCGGCCTGTTTAACAGGCACTCGGGGCTCCATGTCCATCGTGTCATTTCACAGCCTTCCCTGCAGCTTTTGTAATTAACATCTCAAATGTCCAAACACAACCTAAAGGTTCCTGTTCTTTACTCAATCCAAGTTCCCTTCACAGAAACAAACCCCAAACTCATCGCTGTGTGAACAGGCACCAGCGGCGGGAGGCTGCACACCGTCCCCATCAGCAGGGCCGGCGACAAGCCCTGCACGCAGCGCCCTCGGCAGACCCCCGTCTGTCCCACCAGCTGAGCGCTGCACACACTGCTCTCATTGAGCCAGTCCTGGGGGGCCGAGTCCCAGCCGACACTCTTCTCTTCTGGCCACCTATGAGGTCTCAGGCCCCAGTCACAGAACGCGCTGCTGTGGCACACACGGTCATCGCCTCATGATGAAGCTGGGCTCCTCCTCTTCCTCCTCCTCTGTTCCAGACGCTTCCTCAGGGCTACTGGACTGCTGCTCCTGGCACTGACTGGATCCTGTAACCACACGACATTCAGATCATATACACAGGAATTCACTCCGAGGAGAAACAAGAAAACAACCAAGCCAGGTGCCACTGAGTGGACCCCACTGTGTGTCAGGGCAGGATGTCCCCTGAGAGACGGAGTGAACCCCACTGTGTGTCAGGGCAGGATGTCCCGTGAGGGACTGAGTGGACCCCACTGTGTGTCAGGGCAGGATGTCCCCTGAGAGACTGAGTGGACCCCCACTGTGCGTCTCAGGGTAGGATGTCCCCTGAGAGACTGAGTGGACCCCACTGTGTGTCTCAATGGTTGACTTTTTTTGAAGGAGATGGCCAGGGCTTTCTTTTGAGGTGCCTCGGGGTGGGTTCTAACCGTCAACCTTCCGGCTGGTAGTTGAGTGTTCAACTGTGCCACCCAGGGACTCACTCAGAGATAATGAAAAACCAAACCAAACACACTGCCACTGAGTTGATTCCGACTCACAGTGACCCCCAATGGCTTTCCAAGGTGGTAAATCTCCAGGGAAGTAGATTGCCCAGTCTGCCTTCTATAGAGTGGCTGGTGGGTTTGAACCCCCAACTTCTGGTTAGCAGTCAGATGCCTTAGGCACTTTGCCACCAGAGCTCCATTCAGAGATAAAGATTATTATTTTTTTAATTAGGGGGAGAATTAGGAACTAATCATACATCGAGGAGGAGCCAAAGGCAGTCCTCACCTCCCATCCGGCCCCAACCACTCCCCCAGGGAGCTGGTCACAGAATTGATCTACCACCACTCTGCCGAATGGACCCGTCCTACCAAAAGGTCCAGCAACCCACCAGGGACCCCGATGGCCCGTGAATCAGGTCTCAGTGCCTTTCATCTGGCCTGCGTCACTGACAAACGCCTGGTGGGGTGACCTGGCTCTTTAATGGTCCTGCTGACACCCCAAATCTCACTGCAGTCTGCAGATGGAGCTTCAGAAAGAGGGCAGCAGAGGGCTCCGCCCACCACCAATCTGCCAGCCTCCTGGCTCTTCCCAAACACAGGCCCAGAAGCCCTCCTCTTGACAGTCCATGTGCAGCTGTGGGTCTCCAAGTTTCCCCTGCACAACTGCCAGTACCCACAATGCAGCAGAGCCGGCCAAAGCACGGAGCAGAAACAACTTGTTCTCAGCACCCCCTCCTCCTCCCCACTCTCTTCTGGGGTGCCAGGGGTGGGTGAGAACCGTAACAAGGCAAAGCCCAGCCCGGTCCACTCTGGGCAGTCACCTGCAGGCACAGCGGCCTGGCCACCAATGGGCCTCCTTCCTTCAGACACATCGCCCCTGCACCCTGCTCACACTCTGCGCTCTGTGCTGCCCTCATCACAGGCTCAGGCAGAGAGTGCCCTGGTGGGAGCAAGCAAGGGCCAGTGCAGTGTGAAACGCACCGTCACACCCTCAGATGGGACACTACGGGGCACGTCTTCTCCAAGATGCCACTGCATTTAGAACATCCTTCCTCCTCCTCCTCCACCTCGTGTCCAACAGAATGAGACGTTTCAAAAGCACACAAGGTGAGGATAGTCTGTGCTGGATACCCACGATGCCAGGCACTGTGCTACGCCTTACACCCACCATCTGGTTTAATTCTAATAGCGTCTATGAGATAAGCCCCACTGTTATATGTCCATTTCATAGAGGAGGAAAATGAAGTTCAGAGAGCTTACATAATTTACTGCTCAAGGTCTCATGTCTGCAGGACAAGGACCCAGGATTCAAACCTGGATTGCTCAGTCACGTTTCACAGGAACACAGGTCAGTGACCTCATGGAAGTCAATGTGACCACCCTTTAGTCAGTAACTTCATGGAACTCAATCCAAAGAAGTTCTTTATGTTCCAAAATCACTTTGCATTCTATAAGACGCCAGCTTTCCTCGCCTCCTCAAACTCCTTCATGGAATCCTAATTTCTGTACAGATCTGCATATGCCTTCTTTCTGCTACTGCACACTTAGAGAGAGCTGCAACCCCGGGGACACAGCGACGCTCTATGACAGGAATTCACAGATGCTTGGCCGGAAGGGCCCGCATCTGAGGTTTGGCCAGAACATTGGAAGGCATGGTGGTTCATCTTCCGCAATGCCAATGTCCTTCTCCAATGATGGAGAAATGGCCCACCTGAGTCTTTAGACCTCTGCCCTTAACCATCACCCTAGCCTGCCTTCAGAAATACAGAAGGAACTGAGGCAAGATGAAAATGAGGTGGGGCCAGGAGGCAGGTGAGTAAAATGTATGGTTGGAGTCCAACAAGGTGCTGGAGAGGGGTCAAGACTCTTGCTCTGTGTTCCCTGGACTTCCGGGGCAGTGGTCCCCAAGCCTTCTCACGTCATGGCCCACGTAGAGAAGGACACATGGGGCAACCAGAGAGGACTGGTCACACACAGGCAGAGGCGAGTGGCCTGAGGCTTGGTGCACTGCTTGCAGTCCAGTCCCCACTGTGGTGGTTCACTGTGTGTGTCAACTCGGCTGGGCCTGGGTGAGTGGCTGGGCAGTTGGCGGTAGTTATTCCCCATGATGAGACTGGCAATCAACTCCTGGGTGGGATCTACCACAACCAGCTGAGTAGTTGCCTTAGGGAATGTGGTCTGCTTCCTGTATATAAGGAGAAGCCTTGGGAATGGTCTCTAGCTCATGGCATGCTTGGACCCTGCATGTAGCCGTGTCATTGTTAAGCAGCCTGCCATGCTCTGCTGACCTTAGGACTAAATTAATGGTCTGCTGTGTGGTTTGGTAACATTGAGACTGTGCCTTTTTACTTGTCAACCTTGGGGCTTCTCAGCCTCAGCAGCCATCACCTGTCTGAGTGATGAAATGCCTCTAGTGGGCCAGGAGCAGGAGGCAGAGCAGGACCCCAAGGATGAGGGGCTTTCACCCAGCCCCTAGAGCCTGGCACTTTGAACTTGGACTTAAAGCCTCCAAACTGTGAGAGAATAAACTCCTGTTTGTTAAGACCATCCCGTTTGTGGTATACTCTTGTCAGAGTGGCACTAGGGAAGCAGAACACCTACGTAGCTGCCGGCAAGCTCTGCTCTAGGACCTGGGCTCCAAAGCTGAGCACGGAGAACAGTCCTGTTAAGTTTCACTACCTCTGTCATGTTCTGTTCATCTTAAACCCCTCAAAGAACTCACATGGCTCTGAACAACAGACAAGAGCACAAGATTTGATCTTTAATCCTGATATTAAAGAAACCCTAAAACACAGATGCAGTGGCCCTTGAAGGAACGACCTGTTTTAGATCCCCGGGGTGATAAAGAGCACAGAAGGGCTCAAAGTATTCCTTGTGGCTGGAAGGGCCAAGAATGCATTACGTCACTGAACAGTAAACAGAATGGAATCGTGTGGGAGGGAGACACATTGTCAGGGCTGGAAATACCACTCTGAATGAGGAGAAAGCTACATGTCTGCTATATGACCCATGTATGTTCGAGTCAGTCGGAAATTCAACAAATCAATCCACCCACGTTCAACATTAACTGCTTGCCTCTTGCCAGGTACTAGGGTTTTGTTTGTTTCAGCATTAAATGGCAATGTATTGTTCTATAAATCCTGAGACTTCACATAAAGTTTCCTTAAAAATTGAGTCTCCTATACCACAGGCCTCAAAAAGGAATGTTAATTAAACACATGAGCAAAACTATGAACCAAGTTAAAAGGTAAGTTCACTTCCTTCCCAAGCAACTGGTATAGAAAACACGTGGCCAAAGTACAGGGAAACCGGGAGGAAGGGACCTCTCTTCCAGCAGGTCTACAGGAGTTACAGATATTTCAAACCGAAGATGGAATTACATTGAGACAGTGCTTCTTTGTATTAAGTGATTAACTTGCTTTATGAATTCATCACAGAATGTCAAAGCTTTGATCCACTGTATTTGGTCTTCTGGGAGAGCTTACAAACTCAAATCACCCCTTCTTTCCCTCTGGACAAAGATGAATATCAAATAGTACATTCAAAGCCAAAACTCTGGGCAAATGGACAGAAATGCACCGTCATGAAAATGGAATGGAAGGTTTCCCCAAAGTGGTGCAGTGGTTAATGCACTGAGCTGCTAACCAACAGGCTGGAAGTTCAAACCCACCAACAGGTCTGCAGGACAAAGATGAGGCAATCAGCTTCCGTAAAGATTTACAGCCTTGGAAATCCAATGGGGGCAGTTCTACTCTGTCCTACAAAGTCGCTGTGAATCAGAATTAACTTGATTTTTTTTTTTTTAAATGCCATTGTTGTTGTTCTTGTTGTTATGTGCCGTCGAGTCGGACCAGACTCATAGCGACCCCTCCTTGGGTTTCCGAGGCAGTATCACTATGGAAGTAGATTGCCCCATTTTCCGAGGAGTGGCTGGTGGGTTTGAACCGCCAGCATTCTGATTAGCAGTCAAGTGCCTTAGGCACTATGCTACCAGAGCTCCCATAGGCTTCAAAAATGCTTGTTGATGAATTGTGGGAAGGCTTTGGGGGAAGGGAGGAGAAAACAGTGGATCCTTTAGGAAAGTACGCTGGCAGATAAGCAGTTGGCTGTGTGAAAGAGGCACTCTTTTTATAGAAAAAGCCCCTAGTTAATAACCAGAACCTTTATCCGTGATCGATTCGGGATCTGATTTCATGGGACACGTGATTTACGATGTCTAGTGTTCGAGGATCAAGTCCATCCGGCTGATAATGAAGCCTCCTACATTAACACCAGATCAGAAGCTATCTAGCACTGATACCTTTGCCTCCTGCTGCGGTCACAGGAGCCCTGGTGGCAGTGGTTAAAGTGCTCGGCTGCCACCGAAAAGGGTGGCAGAGGTCCATGGAAGAAAGATGAGGCAGGCTGCTTCTACAAAGACTGACAGCCTCAGAAACCCTATCGGACAGTTCTACTCTGTCCTCCCAGGTTGCTCGCAGTTGGAACTGACTCGACGGCAGTGGGTCTTGGTCTTTTGAGGTCACCTATTCTCAGTGTGGGAGCTCTGGTGGTGCAGTCCTAAGGCATCTGACTGCTTACCACAA